ATACAAAGTATTTCCTGTTTTCTAAGTATGTTTTGAACCAGTTTAGTACAGTTCCTGAAAGACCTGCCCAGTTCTCCAGTACTACTTTCTTGATGTCTTCTGAGAAAAGTTAATTCTATCAATCAGCAGCTTGCGACAGTTACACATCGGCTTCAGGATTTCATCTCACCTTGTGGGATGCTCTTTTCCCTTTTTCTCCTCTGGATTTCTCGTAGGTCACCAAGTGGATCTCTCAGGCCAAAGCCTCCACATGCAGACAAGGGGTCAAGCCATGTCTGTGGCCACATATAGATGATATCATCTCTTCCTGTTATGACCTGGCTCTGCTAGGGGACAGGGGAGGTAACATAAACGAGACCCTCACAAGGGAGATCATTTAAGGCAAAGTTTTATTTACAGAAAAAATCTCAGAACTAAAAACCAATACCGAACCACTAGGAAAATAACCAATACAAAAATAACTTGCTCATGTACAAGTAGAAATTAAAGCTAGCTTCACGGGCAGTAAGACGACTAAATACTATCCACATAAATTCCACACATTAAACAGAGTTTCACAAGCAAAGCTCACAGACAGAAGCATACGGGGGAAACTGCACATTCAGTTCAAAGCAGCAGCCCCTGAATAAATGTTCATCAGCCTTTTGTAGAAGACAGGTGAGTACAATCAATCGCTGATTGGTCCCTTTTCCTGGAAGTGCAAACCACTGGTCCTCGGGCAGCCAATTGTCTGTGTGGATTGTCACATCCGAATTTACAAGCAGGAAGGCTGGCACGGGTTCCCTACCAGTCTGCTGGTGCTAGCACACTTGAATTTGCTTGTAGGAAGCTGGCTCACTTCTTCCGAGGCCAGGGGCTGTAACACTTCCCTGGTGTCTGAAGTGGTTCCCTCAGTTTTCAAAACTACATAAGTGACTACTGTCCTCAAGAAGCTAGATCTGGAGCAAAACAGCATTAACCATTACTGACCCAACTCTTCAAAAGAACAGAGCCCAGCCAACTCTATCAACATGTCCAACCAAGAGCTTTATGAAGCCTTTCAGTCTGGCTTCAGAGCATACCACAGCACTTAAACTGTTCTCATCAAAACAAGTAACAGCCTTCTCATTGCTGCTGACCCTAGCCACATTAGCATCCTCAACCTTATGGCCTTATCTACCTTTGACATGTTTTTTCCTCCTTTTCTTCTTTCACATCTGTCTGACTATCTCGGACCCACTAGTACAGCACTCTCCTGGCTTCCATTGTGTCCAACCAAACACAATGGAAGTCCCTTGCTCTGCCGCTGCCCTGGTTAACCAAGGTGTGCCTCAAGGTTCTGTGCTGGGACCATTTCTCTTCATTTACATGATCCCCTTTGGCTAGATCATTTGTCACCGTGGTCTCTGTTTCTGTTCCTATGCTGATGACCCTAAACTTTATCAGTACCAAACCTATCACACTCCATAGTCACTTGTCAGCTGTCTGAAATTTAAACAAGGATGTTATCTAATTTACTCAAGCTCAAAGTAATGAAATAGATCTCCTAATTGTGACCCCCCCCCCC